CCCCCCCCCCCCCCCCCCCCCCCGGGGGGATAAATCCCGACCCTTCCCCTCCCCCGCCGCCCCCGCGATGCCTCCGCCGCCGCCGGGAGCCCGGGACCGAGCCCGGGACCGAGCCCGGGACCGAGCCCGGGACCGAGCCCGGGAGCGATCCTGGGACCGATCCGGATCCCTGACTGGATCCCGGGACGGATCCCGGGGTGATTCCCGGGACGGATCCCGCGCTGATCCCCGGAGCGAACCCCGGTGCGGATCCCGGGACGGGTCCCGATCCCCGGACGCGTCCCCGGCCGGATCCCGGTGCGGATCCCGCTCGGATCCCCGGTGCGGATCCCGGTGCGGATCCCGGAGCTCCCCGGGCCGCCCCCAGCGCTACCGGCGCCACCCCAAACCCCCGTACTCGTACCTGGCGCTGATCGCGCTCGTCATCCGCGCCGCCCCCGGCCGCCGCCTCAAGCTCGCACAGGTAACCCCGAGAGAGAGAGAGATCCACCGGGATCCACCCGGGATCCACCCGGGATCCACCGGGGATCCACCCGGGAGAACCCTGAGAGACCCCCCGGGATCCACCCCAGAGAACCCCGGGATCCCCCTGACTGAGAGACCCCTGAGAGACCCCTGAGAGACCCCCGGGATCCACCGGGATCTTCCTGAGAGACCCCTGAGTGACCCCTGAGTGACCCCTGAGTGACCCCCGGGCTCCCCCTCACTGAGAGACCCCCGGGATCCACCCGAGAGACCCCCAGGATCCACCGGGATCTTCCGTAGAGACCCCCAGGATTCACCCTGAGAGACCCCCGGGATCCACCGGGACCCCCCTGAGTGACCCCTGACAAACCCGGGACCCCCGGGATCCGCCTGAGAGACCCCCGGAATCCCCCGGGATTCCCGATCCGACCCCGGGACCCCCGGATTGGGATCCTCATCCAGCCCCGGGAGCACCGGGAATGTCCCGGGACCCCTCGGGATCCTCCCGGGGTCCCCGATCCAGCCCCGGGACCCCCGGATTGGGATCCCGATCCAGCCCCGGGACCCCCGGGATCCCCCAGCCGGTCCCGGGATCCCCTCGGAGCTCCCGATCCAGCCCCGCTGCTGCCGGGATCCCAATCCGGGGGTCCCGGGGCTGCATCAGGGATTCAAATCCGGGGGTCCCGGGGCTGGATCGGGGACCCCGAGAGGATCCCGGGACCGGCTGAGGGATCCCGGGGGTCCCGGGGTTGGATCGGGATCCCAATTTGGGGGTCCCGGGACTGGATGGGGATCCCAATCCGGGGGTCCCGGGGCTGGATCGGGATCCCAATTCGGGGGTCCCGGGACCGGCTGAGGGATCCCGGGGGTCCCGGGGTTGGATCGGGATCCCAATTTGGGGGTCCCGGGACTGGATGGGGATCCCAATCCGGGGGTCCCGGGGCTGGATCGGGATCCCAATTCGGGGGTCCCGGGGGAGATCGGGGATCCCCATCCAACCCCGGGACCCCCGGGATCCCTCAGCCGGTCCCGGGGCTGGATCGGGGACCCCGAGAGGATCCCGGGACCGGCTGAAGGATCCCGGGGGTCCCGGGGTTGGATGGGGATCCCCGATCTCCCCCGGGACCCCCGAATTGGGATCTTCTAATTCCTAGAAAATTCCCGAATAATTCCCAAATAATTTCCGAAAAATTCCCGGAAAATTCCCCCCCCCCCAAATCCCCCCAAAACATCCCCCAAAAAACCCTCAAAAAACCCCAAAAGATCCCAAAAACCCCTAAAAAAAATCCCCAAAAAATCCCCCCCAAAAATCCAAAAAAAAATCACTCAAAAATCCCCAAAAAAATCCCACCCAAAAAACCTCAAAAATCCCCCAAAACCCCCCCAAAAAACGCCTCAAAAATCCCCCAAAAATAAAAAAAACACCCAAAAGATTCCCAAAAAAATCCCAAAAAAATCCCCCAACCCCCCCCCCCCCCCCCCCCGAGCCTGGCGCCCCCCGGCTGTTGTCGCGGCTGTCGCGACAGGAGGTGCCAATCGCGACAGGGGGTGACAAAAGCGCTGCCGATGGCGCCGCGGGGGCTCCGGCGCCGCTGTCGCGACATTCCCGGGGTGGGGGAGGGGTCCCGATCCCAAAAAAAAAATAAATAAAATAAAATTCCAGGATCGGGATGGGAAAAAAATAATAATAAAAAAAAGATTTTTAAAAAAAGCCCCAAAAAATCTCGAATTCCAAAAAAAGCCCCCCAAAAAAATCCACAAAAATCCCAAACTCCAAAACCCCTCAAAAATCCCCAAAATTCCCCAAAAATCCCGAATTCTAAAACCCCCTAAAAAACGAAAAATAAATACCCAAAACTTCCGGAAAACCCCTCAAAATCCAAAAAAATCCCGGAAAAAAAACGCTAAAAAAACCCCAAAAAATCCACAAAAATCCAGGGGAAAAAAAAACTAAAAAAAAACCCCAAAAATCTCCAAAAATCCCAGAAACACCCCCCTGAAATTCCCAAAATATCCCGGAAAAAAACCGTCTAAAAAACCCCTAAAATCCTGAAAAAAATTCCGAAAAAACAAAAAAAAAATCCCCAAAAATCCCGAAACAAAACCCCCCAAAAATCCCAAAAATCCCCAAAAATCCCGAGAAAAAAACCCTATAAAACCCCAAAAAATGCCCAAAAATCCCGGAAAATAAAACCCTAAAAAACACCCCCAAAATCCTCAAAAATCTCCTGCAAAAAAACCCCAAAAAAAACCCCAAAAAACCCACAAAAATCCCCAAAAATCCCGAAATAAAACCCAAAACCACCCCCCCAAAATCCCGGAAAAACAACCCTAAAAAACCCTGCCAAAATCCCCCAAAAAACCGAAAAAAAACCCCAAAATCCCGAACTCCAAAAACCCCAAGAAATTCCCAAAAATCCCCAAAAACACCCCCAAAGTCCTGAAAAAAAAACCCCAAAAACCCCCCAAAAATCCCGGAAAAAAAAACCAAAAAACCCCCAAAAATCCCCAAAAACACCCCAAAAAATCTCCAAAAATCCTGAAAAAACCCCAAAAACTCCCCAAAAATCTGAAAAAAACCCAAAAACACCCCAAAAATCCTGAAAAACCCCAAAACTCCCCCAAAACTCCCCAAAAATCCTGAAAAAAACCCCAAAAACGCCCCAAAAA